CTCCCCACGCCCCCCCCCCCCCCCCAAAAAAAACCCTGTTTGCATGCTTCTGTGTATCATTTCTTCTTATCTAATTTTGTAAAGTTCTGAGGTTTTGTTTAGGAATTATATACTTTTGGGTACACTTGATCACATCTATATTTTTAAATAATAATGGTAAAACTGGCATTATTGTCTTTATAAAATCCTATTACTTTTTCCCACACAGTATAAATAGGCCTTCTGTGTCGTTGCCTTTATATTTTGGGAAGGGGACCATCATATTTGGGGCCTACTGACCTATAGTGTTCTGGCAAACCCCTGTGACCTGTGTTTTGGGGAAATTGTCTCAAATTTGAAATACAAATTGTTGGTGTATGGCAGCAATTTTGCTAGTGGTTCAGTGGGTATTATTGTTGCCTCACAATCAAAAGGTCCCCAAAAAAAAAACCCTGTTTGCATGCTTCTGTGTATCATTTCTTCTTATCTAATTTTGTAAAGTTCTGAGGTTTTGTTTAGGAATTATATACTTTTGGGTACACTTGATCACATCTATATTTTTAAATAATAATGGCATTATTGTCTTTATAAAATCCTATTACTTTTTCCCACACAATATAAATAGGCCTTCTGTGTCGTTGCCTTTATATTTTGGGAAGGGGACCATCATATTTGGGGCCTACTGACCTATAGTGTTCTGGCAAACCCCTGTGACCTGTGTTTTGGGGAAATTGTCTCAAATTTGAAATACAAATTGTTGGTGTATGGCAGCAATTTTGCTAGTGGTTCAGTGGGTATTATTGTTGCCTCACAATCAAAAGGTCCCTGGTTCAAGTCCTGGCTAAGCCAGGTGGCCTTTCTAGTGACCTTTCCGTGTTCTCCCCCTGGATGCTCCGGTTTCTCCCACAGCTAAACCAGGTGGCATTTCTATTCGGCCTTTCCATGTTTCCCATATCTTGACGTAGGTTTCCTCTGGGTGCTCCGGTTTCTCCCACAATCCAAACACATGCAGCATAGGTGAATAATGGACCATCTGTCCAGGGTGTTTGCCTGCCTACACTGCAAAAAGAACATCCATCCATTTTCAAAACCTTGTCCTACATAGGGTTGCAGGAATAATGGAGCCTATCCCAACATCTAGTATCCTTTAAAGGGGTCATATAATGCGATTTCAATTTTTCCTTTCTCTTTGGAGTGTTACAAGCTCTTGGTGCATAAAGAAGATCTGTAAAGTTGCAAAGACTAAAGTCTCAAATCCAAAGAGATATTCTTTATAAAAGTTAAGGGTTAACCACGCCTACCTAAAACGGCTCATTCTAACACGCCCCCACATGTCTACATCACGATGTGGGAAGATTTGCATAACGCCGCCCAAATGTTCACGTAAAGAAAGAAGGCATAACTTTTATTCTCGCTGTAGTATTGTTGTTGCCACCGCTGCCATGTCGTGAAGGCGCTGTGTGTTTCGTTGTGAAAGCGAAACTACTTTGTTTGGCCTTCCAAAAGAGAATGATATCCGCTTCGTCATGCCTGGAGCTGATCCGTGCTGGTCGCTGAGGAAATACATCAACTTGCGCTGTGGATCACCAGATCGGCTTTCACTGTGGACGAAGCAGAGTCCAGCCCGGGGTTGTCACATGTGGTTGCCGCAAGCCTGCCCGCCACCGCTCACTCAAGCCGGCCTCCGCTCACTTTAGCCCGCTGTGTGTGACGCTGTGTTTCGTTGTGAAAGCAAAGCTACTTTGTTTGCCCTTCCAAAATTTACTCCTAATGGGTGCAAATTAATACCTTGAAGATACATATTAGTATCTTTTAAAAAAATTACTGCTCCAGTGACAGCTTTTGTACCTTTTTTCTGAGAGTGTACAGCTCGAGATGTTGAGATCCAGCATCCCCTCGACCCTACTTAGGACAAGGTTTGGAAAGTGGATGGAAGTTTTTCCAAGGGCAGCAGTACGATCGTGAGGTTGCATTTTGTTTCCCCTAATAAGCCTCATTCCTAAGTCAGACATGACATCTTCAAGAGTGCCCCATGATGACGCCCTGCCAGTAGACATTGTCGCCGCACAGTATCTCAATTACATGATGATGACTGAATTGATAACAAAGGAAAACAGCCACCATTAAGGAAAGCATGACGATGGCACTTATCCTTGAAAGGACACCCATTCGGCATAATCACTGGGTGTCTTTGGGTGAATTGGGCTTCATGATGGCTTCCTGAGCTGCTCTCGGGATGGGGCCACCACAGCTGTTCATTAAATGGACTGTAGTGGCAAGAGCGCCTATTTGGAGGGATAATAGAGTGTTTAACTCAACCTGTGAAGTGCTAATGCTGTAATGGAGGATTTAGAGACAAGATGGAAGGTTATTATAGCCACACTTTATGCAGTGCAGTGGCCTGATTCCATATCAAATGCTCCTTACTGCAAATTCCCTGGCAACACGATGTCGCTGGTGAGAATATAAATTGACCTTGAGAGCAGATAGTTTGTTTTAGAGTGTGAGACAGCGAGCACGAGTCTTCCATTAGTGTGACTGTTAGACTGTCTGAGATGTATTGAGGACCTGATCAGATCTTGACGACATGACTTGTCACAATTTTCTTGCCACATGTCTGAATGAAGAAACCGAATTGCTATTGTGTACATTTCGGTGGATATGACACTATGGCCATAGGTTTTCAAGTGCAGAGTCATGCGCTTTCTGAATTGCATTAGGCCGAGTAAATAAGCCGGGATGTGTTTGACATCACCTCGTGTTCCCACAGGCACCTTGGGCAAGGTGACACTATCAAATATCATTTGAATCTAAACACGCTTTACTCACTTTGCTGAGAAAAAACACTGAATCAGTTTGTTGTTTTCTGGTCCCTCTGTATCTAATCTATGTGCGTCCCTGTCCGTCTTATAATGGAATAAGTTTCCTTTGCCGCCCCAGTGTTTTCATCTTTCCTTCCATGCTTTCTGACCTTCTCATGTCCTGTCTTTCTCTTTCACTCTGTTGCTCTCTTCTGCTTTCATACTCAATTTCATTTGCAATATCCCATTATCTTTTTTTCTGTCATCCTCCTTTTTCCTATTCATCTTTCTTTTGTCTCTATTGTCACTTTTCTTTTCTTTCATCCCACCCATTCCTGTCATTTCTTTTCCTCTTATCTAATTTCTCTTATCCTTTCCCTTTCATTTTCTTTTCCTTTACTTTCATACCGGTTTATATAATTTCCTCTCATCCAATTTCTTTCTTTTCCTATTCCTTTAATCTCTTTTCCACTTCCTTTTCATTTTCTTTCCCTTTAATCCTTTCTCATCCCTTTCCTTTCTTCCATTTTATTTCCTCTTATCAAATTTCTTTCTTCCAATTGTTATTATTTTTTTGCATTGTCCTTCTTTTTAACTTTGCCTTTCCTTTCATTCTTTCCCTTCATTTATTTTATCCAATTAATTTCCTTTTCCTTTTCATCCCACTCCTTTCTTTCTTTACGTTTCCTCTTAAAATATTTATTTTCCAAATTCTTATCCAATTTTCCTTTCCTTTCCTTTCCTTTCCTTTCCTTTCCTTTCCTTTCCTTTCCTTTCCTTTCCTTTCCTTTCCTTTCCAACTCATCCAATTATCATTCCCTTTTCTTTCCCTTTTATCCCATGTCTTCCTTTATTTTCCTCTTATCCAATCTCTTTTCTTTTCCTTTCCTCACTCTCTCTGTCGTTTATTCTTCCTCCTCTTATTGTCTATCATTTTCTCTCTTTCCTGTCACTTCCTGGTCTTCTCTCTCTCAGGCGGTGTGTGTATTGCTCAATCTCTGAAGATCCCCAGAGAGCCCAGACCGGGAGAATTCGACAAGATCATCCTACGGCTACTGGAGACACCCAACGCTCGTGCCGTTGTCATGTTTGCGAATGAAGATGACATCAGGTGTCTTTATCAATAGATATCTTTCCTTCCTCCTATTCACTGATGTTTATTTAATAAGTACATATGAATGATAATCTGTCCTTGTAATATGCTGGAAATAGAACAGGTTTTATAAGCAACATACATATTTGGTTTGCTCCTTTTTTAATATCTATATGGAGAATTTTAAAATAAGAAGAATGTTCTTTTTTTCATATTGTTTGAACATCACATCACATCACATCATTTGTTTCCTTTTTAAAAAAAAAAAAAAAGGTCAATAGGCTTTAGTTACCTCACAGCTATTAACCGTTATTTGCTACTTGCCTAGTCAGTGGCAAGTGATGGGACATTCTCATTCTAGATGGCATTTGGCTGGTTGTACTGCAATTGCAACATGAGTCCATAATATATACTACCTTATTTAATATACAGTATCTTACTACTTATTTAATAATATTACAGTTTTGCTGTTTTTTTTATCAAATAAATGCAGCCTTGGTAAGCATAAGACACTTCTTACAAACATGTTTTTTTTAAATCTTGCCAAACCCAAACAGTAGTGTGGTCCTTTTACTTGGGAGAGAATATTTAAAATATGTGGAAACTTTTAGAAGTAGACTTGCATTTCGGTGGTCTAGAAGTTAATAAATAGTCACATCTACTGAAAAGCTACCAATTTTGGACAAACCACAGATAGTATTTAACTGGGACTTTCACAGAGTTAAATTGAGGATGATGCAGTCGAGATGTAAGTATTGCTCTTAGGAGAAAACCTCAAGAACAGGTGAAATCAGCTATTTCTTATAACGTGCTGCCTAACGCCTTCAGAACTTATTTTAAAATAATACACTTTTCAGTATTTTTTGGCATGGAATTTCTTGTACCTGTAGCACAGGAGCAAATCACGTCCCCACATTCCCGAGAGCCGCTGCCCTTCTAAGCCTATCACGTGGTGTCCTTTGGATGCTTGCCTATTACACTGATGACTTCAGACCAATTTCCAATTCTAAGTGTTCTAAGTGTAACAAATCAGGTCTGCTTGAAGGACGTATTTAGGTTCCTGGGTTTTATCCTCACATATGGATGCCTGTTTTGTTTGCTCATCTTTCAGACGTGTCTTGGACGCTGCAAAGCGCAACAACCAAACAGGTCACTTCCTGTGGGTGGGATCGGACAGCTGGGGCTCTAAGATATCTCCTGTCGTCCAGCAGGAAAGCGTGGCAGAAGGTGCTATTACCATCCTTCCAAAAAGAGCATCCATAGAAGGTGAATATAAGAAGGTGGTATATAAATTCTGATTGAATGTTTCTCTTGCAATTCCAATCCAATTCCAATGCTTTCATACTTATTTTCAGCCTTTGACAGATACTTCAAAAGCCGCTCCTTGTCCAACAACCGAAGGAACGTTTGGTTTGCAGAGTTCTGGGAGGAGAATTTCGGATGCAAGTTAGGGATGCACGGCAAGCGTCCCGGCAGCCCCAAGAAATGCACTGGTATGAGAAGGTTTTGCATTACTGTCTCTCAACCTGGTTTAGAAATGACACTGTTACTGAAAGAGTTCTGCTCTGCCTGGAAGCAAAGAAGTCCATCACGCTGACATCGGATTGGACCTCTTTGACGATTCAGTGTTTATCGTGGTTGAGAAGATCAATGGGGACATCAGGCACAAGAGATTCCGTTTAGACAGGAACTGGTAAATCCTTAAATAAACAGAAGAGTCTTACAGACGTTCACACGTGTGCATACTAACATGAGCACACACATCTGACAGTCCTTCTAAGCTCTGATTGATTTACTTGAAGGCTAGTTGGGTTGTTTAAACAGAAGCTTAGCCTTTATTTAATCAGCTCTACATTTATGGCTGCTGTGATATGTACAGTGTGCTTGCAAAAAAAATATTTAGCTTGGTTTCCTAGCACTTGTACTTCAACATAAGTCAGTGTGAAAGCATTCACTTGGTTTTGTAATGTGATCTGTTTTGAATATTTAGAACCAACTTTTTTCACCTTAAAATCATGTTGACATGCATATAGTTTACGTCTTGTAACCCTAACCCTAACCCTAACACTGTTCACCCATCCCTTACACCTTAGCCCACCCTTAAACCTACCCATACCACCAAACCTGTCCCTAACCTTACCCATATCAATAGGAGTGTTTTGCAATACAATATGAACACAATAAGTACATTGTACTTATTTTTTATGTAAGTACATAGTAGTTAAGGCCACTTAATATAAAGTGGGACCAAAAACGTATACAGGTTTGGAACAAGTGGAAGGTGAGTGAATGGTGACAGAATTTTCATCGTTGGGTGAACTATCCCTGATTGGCCCCATTCACTTCATTTGTAAGTGGCAGTAATAGTATTCTACATGTTTTCTCAAGTTGAAATAATTTGCAGAAGTTATGTTGTCGATTGATCCCAACTTGTATTAGGCCTGGAATATTCCTTTAAAGTAGTAAAGGATAACATGTAAAAAAAAAAAAATTCTTCAGTTTATCTTGATTTAAGCAGGTTCACCATAATGACAGTTCTGCTCTTGTCTGTTTCTCTCCTGTATGTACATCTTGTGTACACCTACATAGAGCAGATGGACATTTGGAGTCCTTTTATAAAAGCACAGTTATTGTTCTGGCACGGTGATTTGACATAATGAGAATAATTACATAGCTGTGGATGCGGCACATGGCTGTCTCTCTTGCTCTCTCGCTCTCTCTTTCTGAATGATCTGTAAGGAGATGCTCAGACTACGCTTCACTGCAGATGGATGCCTCTGTCAACAGCGCGCTGGCAGAAATGCTGATTACCATCATCTATTCTTTAAAGAAGTACAAAGAGGGAGAGCTATTAAGCCATGACAAAAATATACTTTTTTGTCACATAACAAAAACGGACGGCGAGTGATCCCAGCTGTCGGGCTGCACAGCGCTGGAGCCGAGGAAATTTATATTTGAATAGAAGCAATGAAGATGCCTGAACACACATACATAAGGACGCAAATACACCATTACATCAGTTTCTAAGTATTAAAATGCTGCAAAACATGAAATGGCATTAGCAGTGGATTTAACTATCAAATGTAACATTTGGGAGAGGAACTAAATATTCAGTGAGAAATCATGTAGGATGGAACTTTATTTTATCCATCAGCATGTAACTCATACCGGACATTAGCCCCTTTCACACATACAGTCTTTACTGGTAAATTAACAACATAGAAATGCTGTTTGAGGCTCTTAAATTTGGCTAGTAAGCAACAACAAAAAACACACTAGCAACCACACAGAACACTAGAAATTACACAGAAATGGTGTTTGAGGCTCTTGACTTTGGCTAGTAAGCAACAGCCCGAGAACACCCTAGCAGGCATCTAGCAACTCCTTTAGACAAGCAAATGTGAATCTGAGCACTCCACACCATATAAAACTATATAGTGTTATATTTAGTAGAGCAGTGATGCTTTCCTGTCTGGGCTGTTTGCAGAGGTAGCAAGCCATGAGAATGCATCAGTTCTCTTTAGGGGATCTCTGTCACGGCATTCCCTTAAGCAATTTCCTGAATTAGACTTCATAATATCTCCATGAACTGAGTTCAGAAAGAAAATAGACTGTACTGGAAGAAGAAATCAACTCAACTGCTTAGCAACAAACTAAAATCAACTCAAAATACTTTAGCAACCACATAGCAACATGCTACAAACCACTCCAAATAACATTCTGGAAAACCACCCTGACACCTTAGCAACCCCCTAGCAACAAAAACACTTAGAACACCCTAGTAACTGCATTGTAGCCTACTAAAAACACCCCCAACACTGTAGCAATCTGATAGCAATATAATAAAATCTGCTCAGAACACCTTAGCAGCTGCATGGCAACATTTTACAAACCACTCCAAACACCCTAGCAACAGCATAGCGACAAAGCAACAAACTAAACAAAAACACGCAGAACACCCTAGTAACTGCATAGCAGCAAACTAAAATCTGCTCAGAATATATCTTAGCAGCTGCATAGTAACATATTTCAACTCACTCCAAACCCCTTAGCAACTGCATAGCAACACATTAAAAAGAATTACACACAACACCCTAGCAACAACATAGAAACAAACTAAAAAACAAAACCAACTATATCACTGCATAGCAACATGCTGAAAAAAACCCAACACCCTACATTTTTCAAACCACTCCGAACACCTTAGGCAACAAGTAAAAAATTACCCACAACATCCTAGTAACTGCATAGCAACAAACCAAAAGACACACAGAATACCCTAGTAACTGCATTGCAGCATACTAAAAAAAGCATAGAAACCAACTAAAATTCACTTAGGACACCTTAACAGTTGCATAGCAACAAAACCTCTCCAAATGCCTTAACAACCGCATAGCAACATACTAAAAATTACCCACAACACCCTAGCAACCACATGCACCAAACTTTCTAAAAAACACTCAGAACAACCTAGTAACTGCATAGCAACATGCTGAAAACAACCCCAACACCCTAGTAATTGCATAGCAACATACTAAAATCCACTCATAACACTTTAGAAGCTGCATAGCAAAATTTTTCAAACCACTCCGAACACCTTAGTGACCACATGGCAGCAAGTAAAAAATGATCCTCAACACCCTAGCAACCACATAGCAATAAACTAAAAAAAACAAGCACTCAGAACACCCTAGCAACCGCATAGCAACACACTATAAAAGCATTATGAATATCTTAGGAACCACATAGCAATGGCCCGGCAACTGCCCACAGTCTAGCATTATAGCAGTGACTCTTGAATGGGCAAACACTGCATACAATTTTGTGAGAAAATGTAAAAATCTACTTTTCTTGATTTCAGAGCACATTTATAGTCACATCCACTAAATCCCGTTCCAGTTGACTCGGACTCTCCAATAAGCATTACACATCCAACATTTCTTTGTTCTGAGAATTACATTTTGCTGACTACAGCATCCTCCAGACAGAAAAAGTGAGCGATCTTTCTTTATTCTGTTCATAAGACAAGTACTTTGGGCTAAATCCCACAGAAAGATGTCAGGCAAATGAAACTGGATTTGCAAAATGTGTGGCGATGGGTTTGCTGGAGGACAGCGACTGAGCGAAATCTCTGGACTCTGGCGTATTTTGACTAGTAAGGAATTGAGTTTGAAAGCGGCCTGTGTGTGTAAGACTTATCTGTGGGATTGAGGTAGGCAGCGGCAGTCTGAATTGATTTTATGATCAACCAGAGATTGAGGTTTGGTGGAACCAGTGAGGCAGCTTTATTCAGAGCCCGTCTGCGGAGTAATCAAACAGCTGACTTGGCAACACGTGGTCAGTGTTCACCTGTGTGTGTATGCTAAAACTGAATAAATTTAAATTAACAAACTTGGCATTGCATTTGCAACCATATGAAAACAGGGGGTGCTGCAGCCCCCTCAGCACCCCTACTTCACGCTAGGTATGACCTATCATAGTTTGACCAGTGTGGTGCTGTAGCGCAAGACTGTAATTCAGTTCTCCCGGAATTAAATTCAAGAGAAGACACAGACTCCACAACCAAGCCTGACGCTGCTGAAATCAGAGTTTAAATGAATATGTAAATATGTGTTACGCGCTTTCCTCTCAATAATGAAATAAACACATAACAAAAATGACAGCAGTGAGAAAACAGCAGTTAAGAAAGCATCTGATCATATCAATGTGGATAAGTTTGCACCAGCTCTGCAATCAGCACTCCAGTCATGTCACGTTTATTTATATAGCGCTTTATACAACAGATTGATTTAAAGCACGCAGCTTTACAGTATTAAACAAGAGAAAAACAGTCTCACAGTGTCAGTTTGCATAGATTAAAGCTTGATCTAGTTCAGGACTGTTTTGATTACTATTACACTATAAGGTGTTTTAAGAGAGCTAATGTTGTTAATAAAATAATTTATCAAAAATAAAATGTCTTAGCACTTTATTTTGTTCCATATATGACTTACAAAAGGATATGTCAGGCAGAATGATGCATCATTCAATCAGTCAGTTACTTCATCATACAGTTAATTAAATGGTGAATGAGAAATTCTCTGTCATCTCATTTTGTGTGCCAAATATATTTAATTGTATTGTAAAAAATAATTGTAATTGTACAATAGTAATATAATTGTTTGACATTTGACATTCACTTCAAAGCTGAAGTGATTACCTTGTACCTTGTAAAAGCAGAATAATAGAGCAAAGCCCACTGATTAATTGAAATAGTCGATTAATCATTGTAATAATCATTAGATTAATCGATTATCAAAATAATTGTTTGTTGCAGCCCTATTCTGAAAGATGTTTGGTCAGTTTTCATTTGTTTTCCTTTAATGGATCCTAAGCCACATTGGAATTTGATTAGCGCTCACATCCAGAGTTCAATAAAGTCTTATGAACTTCACAAATGCTCTTTTGTAGATCGCTGCTCTCTCTGCAGACTTGGTGCAGCTGTTGCTTTATT